CCTCAACTTACAACCACAACTGAACCCAAAATTTCTGTTAAGTGAGACATTTGTTAAGTGAGTTTTGCTTCATTTTATGACCTTTCTTGCCACAGTTGTTAAGTGAATCACTACAGCTGATAAGTTGTTAAATAATCCAGCTTCCCCATTGACTTTGCTTGTTAGAAGGTCACAAAACATGACCCTGGGACACAGCAACAGTCATAAGTATGAACCAGTTGCCAAGTGTCTGAATTTTGATCTCATGATCATAGGGATGCTACAAAGGTTGTAACTGTGAAAAACGACCACAAGTCACTATTTTCAGTGCTGTTGTAACTTTGAATGGTCATTAAATGAACTGTTGAAAGTCGAGGACTACCTGTATGATTATATAATAATTTTGAATATTCTGTGCCAAAATGTATTGATAAAATACCACTGTATGGTAAACTGTTAGGTAACTCTGTTAATTAGAATAAGCCTCATATGGTTAATGTATTTATAAATATCTATAAAAATGGAGACTTCATTTGGTATTTGAAATCTTTTAAGTATCTTGGAATATTTATTTCAAAAAAAATATAGTTGTAAATATTTCAAAGTGATATTGAATAAATAGGACATTAGAAGCACCAATTAGCTTATGGCTAAAGATAAAAATGGAAATTAATATTAGTTCAAGATGCTTATATTTACCCAGTTGAATTCCCATATTAATATCGTTGAAATATTTCTAGCAGATTGACAAATTATTTTTTTAAAAATTATGGGAAGATTAAAACCCTAGATTTATTTTATCTGAGATGTACTATAAAATTTATATAATCTGAAGATAAACCAATTGTGTCTGTTACATCAGCTACCATGTGACTGTGCTATTGTTAACTTTCTGAATTTTTTGCTTTACTGTTGGACATAGATACATATGTGAACTGTATACATCTCATGCATATATGAATACGTACGTTTTCTATTTCTCTATGGAATTAAAGCAATGAACTCCCAAAATAGTTACAGACAAAATTAAAACGTTGCTGTTTGACACCTATGACATCAGCCTATGCTAGAGAGGCATTTGCATAATTTTGGGACAAATGAAGAATGTTCACCTTTGTTCACATTTTAAATTTATATTTTGGGATAAATCCAGTGTGAAACATGCAGGGATTTTGGGGGGGAAGAGTGAGGTATGTAGGAATTTATGGGCTGATTGTGTTAACACAGACCAGCTAATTACTAATCAAGTTTCTGAGTTGTTGCAAGAGGAATCTGGAAGTCTACTGTCCCACATAGCACTTTATCCACTTTACTGGCAGCAGTCCATTAAGTACATTCTGATTTCACAATTTTGTCCAGATGCATTTGCAACATCTAAATCTTCTAAATTATTCTTAGCACTGAAATGTCTTTTAGGCTATTTCAAATGTGCAACCTTTTTTAAAATGGCAATTAAAAGCATTGTTAGGGTGAATATTAATTATTTGGAATAACTATGGAATAAATAATGGAGATATACCATATTAAAAATGCATCATTAAAGGCTTTAAAATACTTTTCTTAGTAAAATGAGATTCATTCAACAAAATGTTCTTTCCCCACATTTATTGGACACTTCAGAGAATGTTGGAAAAGGGTTAGTTGTCGTCTTTGTTATATTGGAAGTCAAAATGATAGAAGGAAACATGAAATATATATTAGATATGAACATATCGAACCATCATTCCATTTCAGTTTAATATCCATTTATTTGTAATGTGTTGTTAAAGAGATCAAAACAGTTTAGAGATATGAATATGCTTTCAAATTATATACCCCAATTTTGGAATCAATTAATAGATGAAGAATTGAAATTGTAATGCAGGCTCAAATTATGTAATGACCTAGGTCTTGGAAAAGGCTCTAATGCAGGGAAAGGAAAGAGCAGAAGACGAAGACCAGCAACAAGGTAGATGTAATACTCAATTACAGTGGCCACATTGGAAGACCCACAAGGCCAGGTTAGGAATAGAATATCATGTAGAAAATCTATCAATGCGGTTGCTAAGAATCAAAAACAACTTGATGGCCCATAATCAAGTGCATTTATCAAGTGCAGGCATATCCCAAAGGTGCTTTTTCAAGAGGCAACTGGACTTTCTTGTTTTTCTTTTTCTTTGATGATGTTTCACTTTTCATCCAAGAAGCTTCTTCAGCTCATGTGGGCATAGCAAAATATTTATACTCTTTGACAGGGAAAGTGGCACCTTAGATTTAAAACCTTGGATCGATGTTTATTTCTGTGTTAAATGAGTATCCCCACCCCTTTAGTTCATGAGTGAAAGATGGCACATGTACAATATTTTTCTTTCCATTTTTTTTCTCCAAACAACAATTGTGCAATTTGCTTATTTGAGAGAAAAAGAGAGGGTAGCCCCCAATTATCTAATGAATCATCACAGCTGAGGTAGATTTGGGGCTCTTACTTCAATCCCAGGAGTTGGTCCAACCCCCTAATTATTATATCCCACTGTCTCTGATTATAAACTACTAATGTTATGACAAGACTCATCAATATTACTTACAGACATACTTTTTTTCATTTTTTCCAGGTTTTTTTCATTTGTATATTCTTTTTTCCTTTATATATTAAAGCAAACACATTTTAAAAATAAAATAGTTTTAATAAATTATTAAGACATCTAAAAATAAAAGTAATATATTTTTAAAAGTTATTTACATATGGAACACTATAGAGCCTAGGTGTTTAACTGGGACTATGGGACTTTTATTTAAGATCTACCACTCATATTTCTTTCCAATATAATCAGAACTTCTCCACTCTTAGCCAAATCCTAACACTAGTCATGTTTTCATGCTCATTGATGACTCTGTTTCTATTGAGATTTAAATCCAGAAGGCAACCATTTGTTTATTCATTTAAAACATTTACATGGCCACCTATCTTAAAAACTAAACTTTGGGTAGCTCACAATCAAAGAATATGTGCAAACAGTAAAAACAGAAAATAAAACAGAAGAACCTGGTGCCATACTCAATCTTGCCTGATACAGCCAACAATAGTCTTCTCCCATTCTAACTTCATACTATTCCAATATGAGAAAAGCCAGTTCTTTCTGTTTTCCAGAAAGTGAAAAGGCACCTGCTGGATCTCAAGAGAGGATGTTCTATGGGACAAGGGTCCAAAACCCAAGAATGACATGTGGTGATACTTCCAAGCTGAGTTCTTTATTGTTTCCACACCTATAGACAGAATCTTGCCAGTTTAAGCACTCTAGTATTTGCATTGATCTATTCTGAGAGCTATTAGGAAGCAGTGGTGGGATTCAAATTTTTTTACTATCGGTTCTGTGGGCATGGCTTGGTGGACATGGCAGGGGAAGGATACTGTAAAATCTTCAGTCAGACGTGATATTTACCAGTTCTCCGAACTACTCAAAATTTCCGCTACTGGTTCTCCAGAACTGGTCAGAACCTGCTGAATATCACCTCTGTTAGGAAGGAACCGTCTTCACCCTCTTTCTCTCAAACAAAATATCTGGACTGAGCTGCTCTTATTTCTCTAGAATGCACCTCCACCCCCGGCCTTCCTGGGAATCCAGCCTACTACATCCCTTCACATCCTGAAACAGATAAGGGACCCTGTCTAGGTCCCGCAAAATGGAATCATTTAAGGAAAGAGATCTGGAACATGCCTATCCTAGCCAATCTGATGGGAAGAATAGATGTCCTGAGTTCCACAAATAACCTGATCCCATGCTACATAAGACTTTACTGATGAAGAGGAATAACCATCACTGTAAATTGCCCCTGAAGAAAACCAGGAGCCAATATAGCTCTTGTGTAATGCAATGTTTGATTAGTCACAGCTTGGTGATAGGGCTGAAATTTGCTGAGATGTAACATATCCAAGGTGTAAGATCCAAAATGTAGTATACTAGATAAAACTGTATTTCTATGTCAATTAAAAAGGCTGGATTTAAGAATCATTACGGTGAGTCAAGACTAATTCACCATCTCTTTGCATTTCTGATTATAAAGTTTTGAAGTTTTCTGCCTGATTTCAGAAGTTGTTATGTTAATTGTTTCTTTGCAAGATGTTAGCAATCATTTAATTCTTAAATGTGCTTAAGTGCTTTCTGCCTGCCTACCCTACTATTTCACCCTAGCATTGACATTTCCCTTATGGTCTTAAAGTTTTTAGGAAACATAGGATTAGTAAAGCTATAGCTCATTATTGATCTTTTTTTTATTGTTGGTGTCAGACATATTTCAATTTGCCCTAAATTCATAACAGGTCTTCTCTCACATTCTTATGATAGTTTTGCATTTGTTCAAAGATTATCAAACTGGTGTCTTGTATACAATCTGTTCTGAAGCTGTCAGACTGATAAAATGTGCTGTCTTAAGGCATAGGGAAGGACGAGCACCCAGTTGTCAAAATAATTTGAACCAATCAGCATGTCGTAGGAGGAGCAGTTGCAATCGGAGCTGTGAACAGATAATTCTGAATGAACACCCTTTCAAACAAAACAAGCTGAATACCAACTAGCCATTTTCAATTAAGTCTGGTAATAGGAAGGGGAACAGTCATTTTTCAGGGATCAGGGAGAAACAACATCACAATGTTCTATTTCTGTTGATTAGGTATTTTAATCTGAACATTATCTGGCAAAGGGCTTACGGGGAGTCCTTATGAATTTTCCATGAGCTGCATATGCTGCTGAATGAATTCAGCGAGTGTCACACCATGTAGCTTGCAGACAACCCACATCCACAAGGAGGCTACCGAAACAGAAAGCACTGTGGTGCAAAGCCAAGCCTGATAAAGCTCTTTTCTGACAGGATTGATTTATCCATTCTTCGATTATTCTGCCCTTTCTTCGGGCAGCCTTTTCATTCAGATCTACATGCGATGAATGATCAGCATAGAGCTTGTTGATTTATCAGCATTTGAATCCCCAGCAATGGGCTGTGCTATTGTTGTGTTTTCTGTATGGTGAGAGCTAACAGAATAAGCTATGACAGCAAAAGATTCTTCTAGGGAACTTGGTGCTCCGGAGACTGATATTTATATAAAGACTTTCAAAGAACAAATGCATTTAGAACTTGAGCTGCCCAGAGTGTCCGGGAACAGAACCACTTCTCCGAAAATATCTCCCCGCAGTTCTCCAAGGAACTCTCCATGCTTTTTCAGAAAGTTGCTGGTGAATAAAAGCATCCGTCAACGTCGACGTTTCACAGTGGCACATACATGGTAAGATGACTTTGGTATTGATATTCATTCATCAGGAGATATGTGGCTTTTTCTTTTACACTTTTACAGAAAAAATAAATTCTGTCTTCTTTCAGAGCCAAGCTGCAATAATAAAAGAATGTGTAATTGCATTATTTGTGCAGCTCCTGTCCATATGTAAACACATACTATATTTGGGGATTCTGATTAATCTTTATTAATTTTTAAGAATTATTTCTCTGAATTATTCATTTTCTTAGTCTGATGTAATCACTATTATCCTGCTTTGGAGTGTTTTGCGAACCCAAGACTGCTATATTTTGATTTTCATTTGACTGTAGGGTAAAATAACCCTCTGTGAAGCATCTTGAAGGAAGGTCTACCAGTCAGATAGATTAGATTGACAATTTTGGGCATTTCATTCCTTGTGTTTTTGATTGAAACTGATCGGGTCTGAACTGCATTAATTAAAGTCTGTAATACAGAATGAGTAGGTTTTTTCTATGGATTTCTGCTTCTTTTCTATCTAGATATCTGTTCCATAGTTATGCCTTCTGTTTCTACATAATTATTTAAATTTCCTAATATTTTCTATCTTAATTCATTAAAAAAAAAACTTCAGTTATATTTGCGAATAAAAAAGTGTTAGGAGAAACAGAATCTCAAGTATGTAGATAATAGATGTTTTTTTTCCTATTGTTGAATTAGAATTTTTGTCCTCCTTTGGCATTTATACCCACAGAATAGATAAATAATGTAAAAGACTTCATGTTATAAAAAGTTTATTTTTGCACTAAGCAATAACTTTTTTTAAAAAAAGAGCTCTTTAGATGTTTAAATATATATGCTTATAGCAAACTCTGGAATTCCCTGAGTTCTGACCAATAGAAAGACCATTATGAAAAGAAACTATCACATGACCACAGACTAAAAATATTCATCATGGATTGTAGACTTTAGCACTATTAAATTTGTCTAATTCGGGACAATTTTTTAAAATATAAATCATAATATCTTCGAATGCATTCTTTTGAATATTACTATTCCAAATTGAAATATGTCATAGTGCTAGAAGTAAGTTCTACTGGTCTATTCTCAATATTTCATAGTTTTAAAATTCTTTACACCTACCAGTTATCCAGTGTTGCAGTGGATATTGTTCAATTTCATTTCCCATATATGTGAGCTGATACGATAGTGCCCATGTTTTAAAAGAAGGAACTGGAGACAGATATGTGGATAGATATGCATTAAAGTATAGATAAGCATGGGGAAAAATATATACTTGTTTTCTTCTGAGATTGTCCAAACATTTCCATTTGGACTAAACATTTCCATTTGGATGAAAATATTCCCATTGGTAATTTTCTACATTATGTAGAAATAACAGAAAAATAAATATTCCAAAAATTTCTTATATGTAACGAGAGATATGAGGAACATACAGTTGTTTTGTTTTAACAGTGAGAGATAATTACATGATTCCATCTGGGGTTGTCTTTGCATATGATTCAGAAACTTCAGTGTAAAATGCATTATGCCCACCTGTTTATCATTTGATGAAAACATGTGCTTCATTTTATAAATAAAATTTAATGAGATTGGGATGCTTACTTTCTACAGAAAATAGTCACAACTTGAATATGAAACATCAATGAGTTGGCAAAGTTATCTTGATCTGGCTACTGTTCCCAAAACCTGGTATACTACTTCAATGGCAGATCTGAATTCTTATAGCTGCCTCTAAAACTACTCAGATCCTCCCAAATCAACAAAATATTGCGCAATTGGATCTTGGATAATTTGTTATGGAATTCTGGTGATATCATTTGAAAGGGGAGCTTTGGGTTTGCAAATGGGTTGCTAGGGACTGTGGTCCAGAGACTATGAGTTGTCCATTTCTTTGGTGCAGAAAATATGTATAACTATTTTTTGATATATATTTCAGGGAAGCTAGTAGAAGCATGTTAAAATCCAGATTTTTAAAATAAAAATAAAACTTGATCTTTACTGTTCTTATTGATTGAAAATATGTTTTAAACTTTCCTTTTAGATCATTTGATCCAGAAAGGGCTAACAAAGTAATTAAAACAACTGTTCAGTAGAAGTCATAAAGAAAGCAATAACATTAGGTAATCATAAATTAAATTGGGAAGTTGAAAAATATCCTGGAATAAGATAATGGCAAATTAGTTTCATATTACTGCCAAGAAAATTTCTTGAAGGAAATGCATCTTTAAAATTAGTCCATGAGCTAATAAAATAGTTAGTAGATTATTTTACTACAATAATTAGTAAACAGCACTTCATTACATAGAATGGCCTCCTAGGGCCACTGCCAGAAAAGGGATTGGAAAAGAATTCAAGAAATAGTGCTCTGCATTTTTCCCTATTTGTTGTAGGTCTTCATGCTCTGGTTCTGCCAACGGTGATATTGGAACAAGATAGGCAATATTATTTTGTTTGATTTAAAAAAAATATGGAAAAATAAGTGTCAACCTGTTAGATGTAACAAACATATAAACTGCATTTGTGCATAGAAATGGTTAATAATACATATCCTCACTGATTGCAGTGGGAAAATGGCTCAGATCATAAAATTGGGTTGGATATGCTTGTATAAGAATGAACTGTGCATACGTCCACGTAATACAAAACTTAAATTCAAAGATGACTGAGACAATTTGATTCATTTGAAGCAAATCAAATGGCGCTCATATTCCCTACCTCTGATTCAAAAATTATCTTTGATTCATTGCTTTTGATATATATATATTTCAGGGATTCTATCACATGTTATATCATATGCTATTTGATTTCTAAAACGGTTGGAGCTTGGTCTTACAAAACACCTTGATGGGAAAGAAAAGAAGAGGGATTATTAAACTCAGTTCACTGATATTCCTGCCCTCAAATCATAGCACCTTGGGACAAGAGATAATGATTTCCTGGAATGCCAAATGTTTAATCACTTATTCCTCTCACTACTGCCCTTCTTCCATCCATAGAAAAAAGAAGTGTTGTCTTATCTACCTGAATGGGTTAAGGGCTACATTTTAAAGAAAAAATTGTCTTGTTAACTATTTATCCTTGTCCTTATTCTCTAACTATCTGTTTTATCATATCTAAGAAGGACTATACTTCATCATAGGGTCTTCTACTTCCATCTGTGAACACTTTGAAATAGACCACATCAGGAAACACGCTATGGGAAGGCCCATCTATGCTTCATTGAAACAGATTGTAATTACAAATTTTGCAAGTCTGATTATGCTTCTGCTTTCCTGCTTAAATCCCAGTGAATCTGGAAGGAGCCATCTTTTTAATGCTATCTCCTACTCCAGAATAGTTCTGTCCTTATTTATGTAACAGTTTCTGAATATTTGTTTCCAGGTCATCTCCCTCACTCTCTACATCTAGCTGGCTAGCTGAAAATTGCTATATACGTTCTTCATTATAATGTTCATTTTATTGTGTCTCAAAACAAAAGATTCATGGGCATTTACCTGAAATACTTTAATGGAAAGAGTGTTGTTTTAAAATCTTTCCCTAAATCCTAGTTACTGTGTGAACAGCTATTAGGATTTCTTGTCCCATCTGCCGTAATATAAAAGAAAAGGTACCAATTTCTAAGGAATTTGACATGTTTCATCCATTTACGTTGTTTCACAAATGTTATTCCATCCTATGAATAAAATTATAAACTTTTATTATTTTCTCTATATTCATAAGGAGAGAAATTTTAGAAGGTAAACGAGCCGGATGGACTATTCCCTTAATAGACACAAAATGAGTTGAGTTCATTTAATATCTGAGGATCTGGATGCAATTGATTGGGAAGTGCTTGTTTGCACTCTGGAAATTACTTATTTTGTTTTATTTCCATTATTATGAATATTGGGTCAAAAGAAAATGACTAGTTTTGGTGACCAAATATAATCAATATAATAGAACTGGGAAAAGCTAGGTTGAGCATTATCACTACTGCTGTTTGAAGCAATATAGAAATGTATTAAACTGATTTGACAGGCAACCATAACAGAAGACGATGTATTCAGTATTGGCAGTGACATCCACAAGACTACATCCAATTTTTGTACAAGTCATCATTAATACAAAACAGCTTTTCAATCTGTTCTATTTTAGCTTTTTGTTTTTCTATAACAAGTATTTCAGTTAAATGTCTGCAGGAAGAGTTTCTCCCAATATCATTTTTCCATCATTGAATTGAACGTTGAAAATTTATCATCATCATCATCATCATCATCATCATCATCATCATCATCATCTCTTTTATTCAGATAATAACTCAGTCAACTGAACATTTAAAATGTATCACAAATACCAGTGACTGGTGCTACTGGTTGATACGGGTGGCTGCCAGTGTTCTAGGTATCAGTCAAGTATCTTAAAATATATGGTGTTCTGAGTAGTGCAGTTTTTTGTAGTTGCACAGGTGTTATTGCAGGAAGCTGCGATTTCTTGACGTGTTGTAAAATTCTTGGACATGGTACCAAGTGCCCCGATGACAATGGGTATCACTGTTACACGTTTTACCCGCAACTGTGTAGATTATTATTATTGTTATTGTTGTTATTGTTATTGTTGTTATTAATATTAATATTGATTTAATCTTCAATTTGAATCATAGTTTGGGACTGGTAAAAACTTAATATTTCAAGTCCTAACCAGGGATTTAAGAGCTGTTAAGGTAGCGTCTGAATATATAGGCAATTCCGAGTAGAATGGTTTTTTTTTACAGTCAAGATATTCAGATCTAATAAGTTCAAAATTTCCATGTATCTTGGCAACCCTTTGGAGATTGCTCCAAAGTCTCCTTTTACGATTGGTACAACCATTGTTTTCTTCTTCCATAGTTGCTCAACTTCAATTTGCAATCACAATATTTTGTTATTTTTATTATTGTGCCAATTTGTGCATCATCTGGTATTGTAATATCAATGAATCAGACTTTTTTCTTTTCTATAATAGTGATGTTAGGTGTGTTGTGGGCCAGATTT